TTGAACTGGATCATCGAAGGTCAGAAGCAAAGACATTGGTTAATAGAATGGGATACATAAAGGATATTTGTGTTGTTTAACATTTAATTATTGCAGGTTTGCGTTATATTCCGAGTTGCATTATTTTAATTAATTTTGAGGAATACTGAATCTGTTTTTTTGTGAGTGAGATGAATTAATGCATATTCATATTTATTTTAGAACTACAGTAACATCTGATTTCTCTCATCATGGGGACAGGAGAGCTGTCAGTCAATAAATTGGGGGAAAAAAGTAACTTGCGTTACTTATTTGAAAAAGTAACTCAGATATTCTCTTGTAAATTAAAAAGTAATGCGTTACTTTACTAGTTACTTGAAAAAAGCAATCTGATTACGTAACTCGCGTTACTTTTAATGCGTTACCCCCAACACTGCTAATTAAGCACATATTCTGCATGAGCATATTCTACATCCCCAATACCTAAACTTAACAACTACCATACTAACTATTAATAAACAGCAAATTAGGAGTTAATTGAGGCAAAAGTCGTAGTTAATGGTTTGTTAATAGCGAGAATTGGACCTTAAAATAAAGTGTGACCAAATGTATTAATCTTTAAAGTTTTTAGTTAAAAATAACGATAAACTAACACCGTAACAACAACATTTTCAAATTTTAAACTTAAATCTAGGTCTGTTTCTTACACAAAGCTATTGTACGGCTTCATAAAGATTGGAATACAAGTCATATAAACTACTTTTATTATACTTTTCTGTTGCTTTGTCTTATCAGTTTGGAGAGAAGTACTCCTTTAAGACATCCATTAGTCAGTAATCAATCAACGTGCTTGGCTTTGCACGTTGTGAAGTTCGTCGTCTTTCCTTTGTCCTTCACAGCAGCACAGGAAAGACGGGACAATGTGCTGCTAATCATTGGTGTCATTAGCACAGAGTAGAGGAAAGTGTCTGAAGGTTATCGAAGAGACTGAAGAGAGGAGATTGACAAATGGAGAGGTGCTGCTGGTTTTCTCAAGTCTTAAGAGCTTAACAAGCATGGATGTGTCTGTTTTATTCCTCATTTAAGTAAAGAAGAGAAATGGGCTGAAATGTGTGAAGAAACAGCCTTGCTTTCTTCGCGTAGGTAGAAAAGAAGCATCTTCTTTAAGGGCATTTCATTGCATACTAATGCAGTCAAACAGAAGCCTGCTATCTGGTAGGAAGCTGAGCTAAATGTGGGAAGAACCAGGAGTCGAGCAGGTCAAGGAGAACATCACTGTTGAGGTAAACATGACTCTAAAACAAGTGCTGCAGCTTAATTAGAAACATCCCATTCACTGTTACTATGAAACTTTATACATATACAGTTGTGGTCAGAATTGTTGGTACCCATGATAAATATGAATAAAGAAACCTGTGAAAATAATTAATCCTTTTGATCTTAAAAATGTACAAAAATCTAGCCTTTCATTGGAGAATAAGAATTTAAAATCTCATGAAAATCTCACACTGTGCTGCACTATAAACAGATTTGTATTTACAATAAATCAAATGACTACCGGATCCAAAACTGGATAAGTATTTATTGATAATTGACTTACATTTCTCTTTTATACACATTTCATAAATGATACAGGATTTTACATAGTCATTTTTAAAGTCTTCTGATATTACAGCATCCGATGCCAATGACAAAATGAACAAATGAAGAATATGAAAAAAATGTTTTTCATTCAGTGTCACCCGTTACCTTTTTTCCCCCCCGAAATATAATTTTAATTTTAAGTGCACATGAAGAAACCTTTAAAATAATACACATCCCTAAAACATAATCAGTGTGGGAGTATAATAAGGAGTTAAAGAAAGACGGGCAAATGGATGGAGCGAGGGGTGTTCAAGAAGGTCAGGTCTTCCATACTCTCTGATCTCAGATCAGTGTTCAGAATAAAGGCAGCACTGCACAGATTGCAGCATTGAGACTGAGAGAGGATAAAACAAGACATAATGAAGGGGAGATCCTTGACCAATCAGAGCCTGTGTAGCAGCCGAGAGCATCCTTGCTGCTGGGTCATGGAGGGTGAGGGATTGGGTGGGGGAAAAAAAATCTAACTCTGCAATCTGCAATCAGCATTCATAATAATCTTTGCTTTTTAAATTCATTTATATATAATTTCCCCATGTAAACATACATTCATGCAACACCCGCTTTAGAATAGATTCCATATATTTGATATATTATTATTTAAAAAACCCTGAAACAAACAGAAAACCCTACAACTAAACTAAACGAAGTTCAACGTATCAGATAATGACCAGACCCAAGACCTATTAGAGGTCGAGGGATGTCAGTGTACTGGGCATCCTAGAGAGTGAGATTGTTGAGTTTTTGCCCTGAAATAACTTTGGAGTGTGTTTAGGCCTGACTGTTGATCACATAAGAGAGGAAGAATGGATGTTTTTATGCTCATGATGAATTGCTATGGACGAAGATTATGCATGAATAGAAAATTCAAAAAGTCTGAGACGAGATGCTGACACCAACTGCATATTGTCACAAATGTGGACAGCGACCTTGATTCTGCCTTCCATTAACATCCTTTATTGATCCTAGAATGACATCCCATTCAACCAGTTTTGAGGTTTAGGTTTAGGATTATGAACATTTGTATAATCAGCTGCTAATTTCCTTCAGGGTGATTAATGCTTAGCTTCAGCACTGTGCCTCAATGTTATTTCAGGACCAATAAAATATGAATGTAAAATATGAAAATAAAATAAGATATGCATGTGTCCAGTTTAAATTTCAGTTAATAGGGCATACAGTCTGATAAACCCAGTTCAAACTCAGATAAAAAAGTGAAGCATCTCCACTGAAAGCAGCTGGGTCAGACATAATGCAGTTATCAGGCTGTTATCTGTTAAAAACCACCTACAGTTCAGGTCTTGCGGTGTTAAATCACAATGTAATTCACTCAAGGCACACTGAGTAACTACCATTGACCTGAACTCCTCATCAACAATAAATAGTCACTGTTAAAGGGCCTCCATCACAACGCTTACACTTTAGCCAGACATGCAAAATCCGCAAACCACCATTTGGTTTATGATAACCTGGATTACACTTTCCCTTCCCAAAAAGGTCTGTTGTTATTTACCATAATGCCATTCCAAACCCAAAGGGATTATTTTTTGTCCAGTGAATTTTTGAAGAATTTTCACATTTCTTAGTGACCTCAGTTCATAGTGACCATGTCTGTCAAGCTACAAAAAAAAAAAGTAACTGTTTATATGACTCAAATGCTATATTACAGGTTTCCTGAATACAATAGCTTTCTGTGAGGAACAGACTGAAATTTAAAATGTAAATTCTTTCAATGTTTACTCACCCTCATGTCATTCCAAACCCATAAGACTCTACAAAACAGCAAATGACTACATTTTTAGCATTCTCTCATCACTTGTGTCCATTCTTTGAAATTCCACACAACAAAAACACTGATCCATCAAAAAGTTCAAAAAAAGAGGTGATAAAAGTAATCCATAAGAATCAAGAGATTTAATCCAAGTCTCATGAGGAGACACAATCAATTTATTTGATCAACACCGCTCTATGTATGTGCATTGAATTAATTAATTAATTTGTACATTAATAAAAGCCTTTATTAAATCTCTTCATCATATAAAGTCTCTTCCGAAAACTTGAACTAAACCAGCTGATTCATACAAATGTGTTTTTGTGCTTTCTGACACGTCAAAGTCTTCACTGACAAAATGAATGTTATTAATGAATTACTGAATGTCAACAATATCTTTATTTCTGTTTTAAAGAAATTTAAGTCTTGTGGGTTAGTAATGACACGAGGGATGAGTAAACCTAGACAAACTTTCCATTTTTGGCTGAACCATCTCTTGCAGTTATCAACTTCTGAAAATCTTCCCCAGTACTGCAACTCTGAAACATGAAACATCACCGTTTGAATCTAAAGATGAACACAATTGACAGTTTAGAAAAAAATTCTATCTGTCCCTCAAAACTGTTAATTGTGGCTTCTGTGGTCAGTAAGAATGTTGTACGGAAATGAACTGCTAAATTTCTCCTTTTGAGTTGCACAGAACATTCTTTCTTTGGATGAATTACAGTATCTCTTAAATGTTCTGTTTGTCAAAGCTGTAGGCTGGAGTCTCGCCCTGTAATCCCTCCACCTCTAGAGACACAGACACAACATGAATATGGCTTTAAAAATGCTTAATGACGACCACATGCACAAACATGGACAGTCTGACATAAGGATAGAACAACATAGCTATAGAACAACATAGCTATTTCTCTGCGGGGGTCTGAGTGTGTAAGGCAAACCCATAATAGACAATAAGATTTATGATAACTGCCCAAAAAAATATTTCAAGGCTTGTCTTGATATGATCATTTTGTTAGAGAACAACCAGGGTCAAGTCCATTTCACATCCCTCAGATTCAAAAAGTCTGGGCGACCAGGGAAATGGTTATTTATATATATATAATCTCATGTAATAACTGGACTGAAGATGCATGGGGAAAAAACGAATGAAAACAATGTTGATGATCAGCTCAACCCAGCTAGAATCATTACTAAGGCCTGTCGGCTAAAGATAGCACACATAGACAAAGGATGCGACACTCTCTCTCTATAGCATGCCACGAAGTGTGCAAAACACACGCTAATTCTAGATCTAATATATTACACGTTCTCTGCATGTTCCAGAAGGCTTGGCATATCGAGGCAGATATATGCAGCTAAAAACGCCACACGACTGATGGGAAATTGATCGCACCCGGAACGCTTTTCCAGAAAAATAAATCGCATTTTACACAGTGACCTGCCTTAAGACCATTCGATGGGAAATTTTCTTGGATTGCGTCTGATAAACAGGTGTTTCGTAATAAGCACGCTGCAGCAGATGCTGTGAGGCACTGTGGGAAAATGTCATTTGATGATGTTCGAAAGATGATTTATAGAGAAGAGAGAAGACCTTAAAAGAGGATCCATCTGCCAAGCAACCATGTGTATGTGCGTTTCTCATCACCATGTAAACTGATCGAGTATATCATATTTCTAAAGAAAAAAGCATTAGGCATGGAACATTTGAGCATCGTTGATATTGGGAATCTCATAAAATAAAATATCAGAGCATCTGCAGATATGTAATGTCTGGTGGCAAAAAAAATCTAATAATGAGAAGAAGAAAAGTTTCTGCTCATTTCTCTCTTTTTTTATCATCATAAACATAATATGGCTTTTAAAATAAAAAGTGCCAAAATTCTTTGATTCTTTTTCTTTTTTGGAATAATAGAACACACAGTGATATTTTAGCTGTTAGATCTGTCTTCAGCTCTTAACAGGTCCATACAGGAAGCGAGAAGGAATCAGGAGAGGGTTTTGCTTAGGCTGTAGGATACAGGCGTTTCAGTCACAAGAGGACTTGGCTTGATGGTAAACGGATCTTTTCCGAGACGGAAAAGAGCACCACATCCCGAAATCTTGTCTGCAAAAGTGTCAGAGTTAGGGATATCAGCAGTACTCCACTGTGGAAAAACACAAAAACAAGGGCAGATGTTTTTTAGATTTCAGAGTCTGTTTCCCATGCAAGACGTGGGGTCATTGTCTCATAGCGATGAACTGGTTGAATCCCAATGTCTCAACTTCCTGTCTGAAGTAGCTGTGCGTTTCTCTGTGTGCGATAGGAGAGCATCTGTCGTCACCATCCGTTCAGGGATGGAGTTTAGTCGTTTCATTTAATTGTATCTCTTCTCCTCTGCATAGACTTGCCAAATGAAGGAAAACAATAAAAAGGATAACAATAAAACTCCTGCTGAAGCCTGCTGTGGATATGGTTTTTCATTGATGTTGTAGAGATAAAAGAGACAGAAAACAAAATGCAAAAAGGCAGAAGAGAATGAAGTAAGAGAGAGAGAGAGGCAGAAAGGGTGTTCAGGTTCTCATCAGTCCTTGCTGGCAATGATTTGCTGGACAGGGAGGTGCAGCTGCAGCGGGTCTCGAAGACGCTTTAGATCCAACTCCGCCTGAGGGAGAGAAAGAAAATAAGGTTAACATTAGTTAATGTATGAATTAACAATGAACATTTGTTACAGTATTTATTAATCTTTATTAATATTAGTTAATGAAAAAAACGTTATTCATTGTTAGTTCACAGGGCATTAAAGGAGACATATTATGCCCCTTTTTACAATATGTAATATAAGTCTCTGGTGTCCCCAGAATGTGTCTGTGAAGTCTCAGCTCAAAATACTCCACAGATCATTTATTATATCATTTTGAAAATGCCTATTTTGAGTGGAAGCAGAAACACGCTGTTTTTCGGGCCTGTCTCTTTAAATGCAAATGAGCTGCTGTTCCCCGCCCCCTTTTCCAGAATAGAGCTGTGCCATTACAACTCGGAGCTGCTAAAAAACATCTGTTTTGGTTCTGATTATCATGCTTATCTCGCTGAAATCATGCGTTTTAAACCATATGAGTTTAAAATTCTGATATACGTTTTTCTTAGTGCACACATTTGAAGCACACGGACAGAAAGCGGCTGTCACAGCATGTGAGTACTAAACTAAGTTCTCATTCACACACACGTTTATGTTAAAAACACACATGAGTTACAAAAAAACAGTGGGTTATGTGTGTGAAGGTAAACAGCTGGGAAATAAATTGTATGGTTATTTTAGATCTGTGTGGCAGCAGCAATATACAGTCAATAAATCAATAAATCGATGCAGATTTATTTTCACAGCCACATTTGCTCATATTGACCAAGGGTGCCAATAATAGTGGATGGCACTGTATATAGAATTTGCCGTTTTCGCTGTGTCTCCAAAATCATATATATTAGTTACACATCTAGAAAGTATATAATAGTTTTCTGTTCCTTTAAGAGAAAGAAAGGAGTGACTCATATGATGTTGGCTTGTGAGCTAGCTTACCTCAGCAATCGCATCCTTCAGTTTGTTGTACTTCTCAATGTCAAAGCGTGTTCTCTTCGCACCCTTATGAAAGAACAGCAGGTACTGTCTGTCCATGGCGTCAGGGTAAATATATTCCTGTGTGAGAGAACGACAGCAGAGAGGTCAGACGGATCTCCTCCTCCCGTGGCACCTATTCTGAAATTCCTCTGATCATCTAGGGCAAGTTATAGGAAAGAGCTGGAGCTGCTCACCTGACGTGTCAGCACAAAGTAAGCGTACATAGCCATTGCTGTACCATAGGTGATAAAATACGTGACGGGCTCCATGATATCCCATGAGTACTCCCACCAGGTCAGCCGTGCCAGAATGCCAAACTGTGTGGCCATGTATGCCATCCCACCCCACAGCACCCATGTAGTCCTGCGCTCGGCTCTCTTACTCAGCTGTTCTTTAACCTGAGGAAAAGAGATTACAAAAGATATTACAAACATTCAGAAAATATGATTTTACTATTATTTTACTACTGTGCAGTGGCTGTCAACACTGTGTTTTGCTATGCGTTGAAAATAATACACCGTATTGTGAACAAGACTATCAATGCACGAATCAAACTCACTTAGAATACGACAATTTCTGCTTCCTTGGATCATTTTTCATTACATCTCTGCATGTGGGCAGAGACGAATCATCAAGAGCAGGGAAAATGCTTACGGTAACATTAACTTCTCCATTTTCTTTGACAGAAGATGAATCATGAGAGCTGCACTGTCTTCAATTCAGCCGTCGCATCACATTGCTACTTCATTTGCATCAATTACATCTTTTTTTGAACTTTGTAGCATTGCTGGACAAAAACTGAAGACTGTTGGCGGCACAGAGTACAAAAAAAAACTAAAAAGGTAATTGACCATATATCCCATTTGTGACTTTATATCACATATTGTGACTATTACTCTATATCCTGCAACTGTGACTGTGAGACTTTATATCTTGTAATTGTAACTTTATGTCTTCCAACTGGGATTTCAGATCACAAAATGTGAACTTTGGGTAACACTTCAGTATAGGGACCAATTCTCACTATTAACTAGTTGCTTATTAGCATCCCTATTATTAATATATTGGCTGTTTATTAGTACTTATAAAGCACATATTAATGCCTTATTCTGCATGACCATATTCTACATCCCTAATCCTACCAATACCTAACAACTACCTTACTAACTATTAATAAGCAGCAAGTTTATTGAGGCAAATGTCATAGTTAATGGTTTGTTAATAGTGAGAATTGGACATTAAAATAAAATATGACTGAATTTTGCAACTATGACTGTTTCTTTTATTTGCAACTTTATATCTCACAATGTGGCTTTCTTATAATTGTGACATTTTTATTTTAAACTCTGAAATCTTACAATTGCCATTACAATTTAACAAAATAAGAGGGATCATGAAAATTCCATGTTATTTTTTATTTAATACTGTCCTGAATAAGCTATTTCACTTAACAGAGGTTTATAGACAAAATAATAACTGAACTTATAAAAATGACCCCATTCAAAAGTTTACATACCCTTGAATCTTAATACTGTGTGTCATTTCCTGGACGATCCACGACTGTTTTTATATTTGGTGATAGTTGTTCATGAGTCCCGCGTTGGTCCTGAGCAGTTCAACTGCCTGCTGTTCTTCAGAAAAATACCCCAGCTCCTGCACATTCTTTGGTTTTCCAGCATCTTCTGCATATTTAAACCCTTTCCAAAAGTGACTGTATGATTTTGAGATCCATCTTTTCACATGGAGGACAATTGGGTGACTCATACATAACTATTACATAAGGTGAAAACATGTAATGATGCTCAAGAAGGCAACACAATGCATTAAGAGCTGGGGGGTGTAAACTTTTTGAATTGGATGATCATGGTAAATTGCACTTATTTTGTCTTCTGGGAAACATTTAAGTATTTATGTAGCTTCTTAAGTGCAGTACCAAATGAAAACAATATGATCTTTAAACAAAATAAGAACAATTTACACATCATCACCCTGTTCAAAAGTTTACACCCCCCAGACTGTGACTCCTTTCCAAAAGTGACTGTATGATTTTGAGATCCATCTTTTCACATGGAGGACAATTGGGTGACTCATACATAACTATTACATAAGGTGAAAACATGTAATGATGCTCAAGAAGGCAACACAATGCATTAAGAGCTGGGGGGTGTAAACTTTTTGAATTGGATGATCATGGTAAATTGCACTTATTTTGTCTTCTGGGAAACATTTAAGTATTTATGTAGCTTCTTAAGTGCAGTACCAAATGAAAAAAATATGATCTTTAAACAAAATAAGAACAATTTACACATCATCACCCTGTTCAAAAGTTTACACCCCCCAGACTCAATGCATTGTGTTGCCTTCTTGAGCATCAGAAAATGTTTCCACCTTTTGTAATAGTTGTGTATGAGTCCCTCAATTACCCTACGTGTGAAAAGATGGATCTCAAAATTCAATGGATCTCAAGGTTCAAATATGCAGAAGATGCTGGAAAACCAAAGAATGTGCAGGAGCTGGGGGATTTTTCTGAAGAACAGCAGGCAGTTGAGCTGCTCAGGACCAACACAGGACTCATGAACAACTATCACAAGTCAAGTCAAGTCACCTTTGTTTATATAGCGCTTTTAACACAATACAAATTGTGTCAAGGCAACAGCATTAATTAGGAAAATAGTGTGTCAATAATGCAAAGTGACAATACTAAAAACTAATTTTTCAGTTAAAGGCAGTTCATCATTGAATTCAGTGATGTCATCATCCAGCTCGGTTCAGTTTAAATAGTATCTGTGCAATCAAGTCAATGATATCGCTGGAAATGAAGTGTCTGCAACTAAGCAAGCCAGAGGTGACAGCGGCAAGGAACCAAAACTCCATCGGTGACAGAATGGAGAAAAAAACCTTGGGAGAAACCAGGCTCAGTCGGGGGGCCAGTTCTCCTCTGGCCAGACGAAACCAGCAGTTCAATTCCAGGCTGCAGCAAAGTCAGATTGTGCAGAGGACAGAAAGACAGTCGAGGATCATCCAGGAAATGACACACAGTATTAAGATTCAAGGGTATGTAAATTTCTCTGAAGTAAAAACTATTTGCACCAGACATGTCTATGGTATTTTGGTGCAAAATAGACTAAAAATAAATAAATAAATATATTAATTAATTAAAAGTTTGAGGAGAATATATTGGTCAGGTGTTTTGTGTTTTGGTGACATTAATCTAAACAGCTCACCTTCTCCAAGGGCTGGAGCTGAGAGTTGAGGTCCTCCAGTCGTCCAATCAGCTCTCTCTCTTTGGTGAGCTGATGATCTTCTATGCGCAGGGTGCTGTAGAGCTGCTGCACCAAGAGCTTGACATCGTTCAGTCGTTCTGCTTCCTCGTGCGGTAGCAGATCTGCAAAGGACGCCAAAAAAATATCAAAAACTCTGCTGGGCCTCTGCTCTGCTAACCCACAATCCAACAGGCACACTCACCTCTCCTGGGCGGCTGCACCACGTATGTTGTGTCATTAATGACTAGCTTAAAGCTGTCCATAAGTAAAATGTCAATCCCTGTAGAGGACGCTATTCTTGCTCCATCTATAGAGACAGAAGGAGAGACAGAGGGAAATTATGGGAACGCAATCCTCTCACTGAAACGGTTATGTAATACAAGAGCCAATCTAAATGCTTATCACAAAGGTTTCCTGCTCTGCGTTAAGTATGCTCATCAGGAAAAGAAGCATTTTCCAATCTGAGGTGAAACAGAGAGAGAGATAAAGACAGGCGAGAGAAAGCTCAAGTGCCTCTCACACGGGAATAATAGAGCTTGAAACAGAGCAGATATGCAGTTTCCACAGAGTACAAATGATTCTTGTTCCTCAATTAGATTATAAGATGTACTATCAATTAAACAGCCACACGTTCATATGCAATTTGTGGATTAAACTACAAAAGAATTTGTTAATAACTTAAATTTGAATTTAATTTTGCCCCTAGAGCTGAGAACAATGAATGTGTTTACATGCGCAATGCTACGCTGAATATTCTTAAAGGGATAAGTCACCCAAAAAGTAAAGCTGTTATCGTAGTATTATCTATCTGTATACTACAATTCAAAAGTTTGTGGTCAGGTAAGATTTTTTAAGAATCAATTCATACTTTTATTGAGCAAAAGTACATTAAATTGATGCAACAGTAAAGATTTAGATATTGCTATTTCAAATAAGATTTCTATTTCAAATAAAAGGTGTTCTTTTAAAAATGTCTATTTACCACACACACACACACACACATAAAACGATTTCCACAAAAATATTAAGCAGCACAACTGTTATCAACAATGATGATAATAATAATAAATGTTTCTTGAGCAGCAAATCAGCATATTAGAATGATTTCTGAAGGATCATGTGACACTGAAGACTGGAGTAATGATGCTGAAAATTCAGCTTTGCAGCACAGAAATAAAATACATTTTAAAATATATTAAAACAGAAAACAGTCACTTTAAATTGTAATAATATTTTGTAATAATAAATTATTGGTCAGCAGTTTAATTTTTTTATTATTATTATTTTTTTAATTTTAGCAATCCCAAACTATTTGAACAGAACTTCTGAATGTGTGTTTAACAGAAGTCAAGATATTAGAAGCAATGTCCAAAACGGATTTGCCATCAATAGAAGTAGAAGGTGATTTATACTGCCAAGCTCCAAGACGACAAAACAGCACCACAAAGGGAGTCCATACTACATACTTACATGGCACTAATGCACTTCATGAAGTCATATGGAAACAGAAATCATTAAATCACGAGTAGTATGAACTAACTTTTTGTCCTCTTTGAGCTTGGCAGAATGAATCGCCATCCACTTTCATTCATCCATGGAGAAAAGACAGGTTAAGAATGTCATATGGGTGAATAAATGACAACAACTGTCATGTAAGCACCATAAATAGTGTTCATCTGTGAAAGCTTCAGCAAAAGGTTAGACAAAAACCTGACTGTTATCTATATTTCGATTGAGATTTCAGAGATCTTGATGTGGAGTGTGCGTTGTACTCTACCTGTAGAGTAGATGGCGACTCTATCGATGCCCCTGTCCTCCGCCTGCAGCTGCTGAAGGAAAACACCCACCGTGTCGCTCAAGGGTTTGAGGGTGAACTGGCAGCGTTCCCGTCGGGACGGCAGACGTACAGAGATCACCGGCAAGCCATTCTGATACGCCACTGTAACGTCTGCGGACACATGACCCAAGAAATGCCCATTAGAGGTGTAGGAACCAAATTACACAGGATTTTTATGTATAGTAACAATGCAGCCCAGTTAGAACTCACTAGCAATTAATTGAAATTACTCAGACCCATCAAGTACATTTAAATGGCAAAAGAAAGATACTGTCTGCTGAGAGTGTGTACAGGAACGTGTAAGAGACTTATGTGGATAGTGAATGGGTAGATTTCCAGCAGGGGGCAGTGTTGGAATGACAGTATGCGGGAACCACAGGGTCCTGTTGAACGATGGGAGAATTCATCAGACTACTGCAGCATCAGAACTGTCCAGCCTGAGTTAGGAATGCTCTCTCTTGAGCGAACAACAACCCGGCCACTGTGGAGTCAGTGGACGTCACTGTACATCAGTTTAGTGTCAGTGCATATCCTGCTGTTTCAAGCTGTCCTGTAGATGGTACAGCTCTGATTGAGAACTGATCTTCATATGCTGTATACACCAAAGGGCTTGCAACATCCCATTTATATACTGCCTCATTACTACAGTCGTTATGCCTAATGAGTCTGAGGAGGACCGTGATGCGCTGCGGTGAGGTCTGATGTCTGGATGATAAAGACTGGAGTCGTTTAACATGTCACTCAGACACCTCATGGTGATGGACCTTACTCCATTTACCCATATATCCAGTGACTTTAGAGCTGAAAGATGACAACTCATAACTGTAACTATGCTCATGAGTTTTGATACACTCTTTATGCCATCCATTTTTGATGCAATGATCAGAGATTTAATACATAATGAATAAACTTCATAGCAATCAAGTCAAACATATGCTATTAGTACATAATATTATAATTTCATTTTACACAGACTGGGAAAATAAAGTATGTGATATTCATATGAACTGGATGTCTGTCAGCTGAACACACATCGCATCAACACCTCAGGCTTTTCCAGTGTAGACAGCTTCAGTGATTATAATGGGAGCAAACTAGTTGTATGCGATCTCGCTTTGTTTTGCATCAGTTTCACCAGAATGAGTTCCTGGTTTGAGACCAGCAGGTTAAAGGAGCCAGTGCTGAGCCAATATTTTTGTCTCAGAACTGCCATTCACGTAGAACTGAGCAGGACAGTCCCAGATCGGACAGCGGCTCTGGCACTGTGACAAAGAGTATTTGCCATATACATATATATGATATATGATTGCCATAGAGTATCAGTGCCATATGCAGGGCTGTAGGAAAACAGGGAGGGAATCCAGACACTCAACATGAGCTTCATCTCTAGAGCTGTTCTGAAAGTCACTTCATGAGCATTTCACCATTTCATTTGATAAAATTATCGAAACACACAGACACTCAAAATGTCTTCTCTACAAGCTGCGAAAATAGCCTGGTTTAAGACATTGTTGCAAATATATATATATATATTACTATTGTACAGCAGTTCAATACGCTTCTCAAATGAATGATTACAATAATAAAAAAGTTTTTTTAAGGAACATCCCAATATCACACAACTTTTCATCCATGTTTTAATTTAAACTTAAACACTTCGTTTGCCAAAAATGTTCATTTTATGATAACTTGTAATACATTATAAAACCTAGAATCCAGAAAAAAAGATTTTTTTCTAAATGTGTTCATCAAAATGTCATAGAGCCCTATTCATTTCTAAATAAATAAGCATTTAGAAGTGTTAAAGTTAATGAATTCAATTATGTATACATTCTTTTAGATTATTAAAAAAGTAATTAAACCATTAAAAACAGATCCCAGAACATTTTAAATAGAATTTTTAAATAAATACAATTTTAAATGAAAAATGTATAGAATTTGGGACAAAAAAATGGAATAGGGCCTTATTTCATTCAGGATGAGTTTCAGGGAATTACATCAGGGAAAAATATTAAATCAAACTAACTTTAATATTGGAAGTCTGATTAATTTTAGCAAATCGCGTCATTCAAAGGTTTTATTTCAATGATGACCCAAGACCTTTTCTGTTTTATTTGTATTGACAGTACGTGGTATAGTAAGAAGCAATTAATTGAGATTAATATCAACCCTAATTGAGATCATGCTGCACCGATTTTTGATGTTATGTAATTAAAAAGACATTGCACCTTTAAATAGCTTAAATAAGGCAATTTTGTTGGCAAACTGCACAGTAGCAAACAAAAATGGCTTGATTGTAGTTGAACTATTAGATTGGGAGTAGCTTGTAGTCTGGCAGGTTACAGTTATCTTCCTCAACACTGGTCAGGATGTATGTGCACGGAGTCCTCAGTGAGCCAACTAAAGTAACGTACACCACAGACAGCATTTAAAGCTTGAATCAGCTGCTCTGCTGCAGCATGTCATGATCCAACTGTTACAGAGGAAACGCTATCAAAATCCACGGCAAAGGAAATCACTCTCTCTCTCGACAGTGTGCATTCATTCTCCTATCTGTGTGTTCACCTCTCCTGACCTGCTGGGTATAACTTCTCTTAATGCAAAGGAGATTCATTGCTCTCCTCATACAGACTGATTCCATCACCCATCCAATCTGATCTACTGTACTCTACAGGACTATATTTGTTGCAGCAGAACTACGTTACCCACAAAGCACTGCAAGCATGGCCTCGGAGCTGTGCTGAGTTCAAGGAGGTAGAGCGAGTGCTATTTCAGTATACCTATTTATCACATAGCAATTTTTGAATGCTAATTAATGGTGAACAGTGTTTTTTATTACAATAATGGTTAAGTTAATTGTATAAACAGACTACATTCCATTCCAGCTCCAAAAGTTGGACTTCCTTTTTGGATTATAACTGTATTATCTGAGTGCACCTAAATGTAGCTAAATGAGTCAAAGTTCCAACATTACATAATGATAAATCTTGTTTAGCAAACGTTTGCAGATACAGCTGTATAAAACACAGTAAATGAGATTCTCTGTTAATAATCGTACACCTGCAGAGCAATGTTAGCATTGCACAGCATCCTTTATTCTTATTTGCAGTCGCTAGGAGGTTTCTTTGTTGAAAATCGAACACCTGCAATGGTAAATACAATGTTGCTGGTTTGTTTTTGTCATTTTCTGAGCGATCGAAAGCTATTGTTCCTAATAAGTAGGAATCTCCCACATCTGATTTTACAAGAAACGCATTGATCAGCATTACGCTCCCAGAAGGAAAAATGCCATTCAAAATGTCAAGCTTTATTCTTATTTGCAGTCGCTAGGAGGTTTCTTTGTTGAAAATCGAACACCTGCAATGGTAAATACAATGTTGCTGGTTTGTTTTTGTCATTTTCTGAGCGATCGAAAGCTATTGTGCCGAAGATAATAAGTAGGAATCTCCCACATCTGATTTTACAAGAAACGCATTGATCAGCATTACGCTCCCAGAAGGAAAAATGCCATTCAAAATGTCAGTAAGAAAATAGATTTACAGTGACAACATGCAAACTTTCCAAGACTATCAGCAAATTATTGATTTACTTAATACTTGTGTTTAGTTGTCAAATTGTTAGTGAACTTCTTCACTCAACTATATTTCATACAATATATAAAATAGCCATCCTGTAGCTCAAACTACAGAGCATGGCACTAACAATGCCAAGGCCATAGGTTCAATTCCAAGGGTAAGCAATCTATCACTTTAGATAAAAGCATCTGCCAAATGCATAAATATAATGGTTTATATAGAATATAATCCACTGTTACTAAGGAAATGGCAATAGATTTAGTCTCTACAGCTTTTTTAGGTAGTGCCGAATAACATTAGCTAGCCATCCACCTAATATTGGTTAATATGGGATATTGTAATGTTAGAGAATAAATGACAGTAATAAACCCAGACTCAAACATCTGATTGCACTTACAACTGACACAGTTAAGTATACCAATCACATTAAGGATGTTCAGTACATATTCTTGTATTTTGTCACTTTGTCTTTTCTCCCAGATTCTCAAATATTGACTTCAAGCCATTATTTGTAGTGTATACTGTATGTTCTCGGTACTAGCCAGTTTGGTTCAAGGCTTTGAACTCTTTAATAAAGAATTTTCTGAAGAAAACCGAATGAAAAACATGCTTCCGAGACCCAAAGGAAGGTATTCATGGCAGAGCCCTAGTGATGGCTCAGTGATGCAAATACTCACACGCATTTGCATGTGTTCAAATAAACACAAATAAACAGTGCATGAACATGACCACTCACTCACCTTCTGTCGCAGTGGGTGAACACAGTAGTCTTTGACCCTGCCATGAGGGGGAGCCCTTCCAGCCCTTCAACGAAAGAAGAGAGAGAACAAGAGGGAGGTCATTTGTTGTTGAATCTTCTTAAGCAGTACAGCTACACAAACATATTCTTACTAAACTGCTTGCGCAACTGAGTCTGTTTAAATGGTTGTAGACATTCTCCATTTATCCAGGCTTGTCTGACTGTAGAGCGTGAGATATGATGGCACTGACATCACAGATGGGCCTTTTTCATTTTGAGTAGTTGCTGCAAGCGTTACAGTGCTCATGTGATCTACAACAATCCTTTAGGGGATAAATGGAAATGTTTTGTCTTCACAATATGATGGGGGTTGGCACTGAGCAACACACACTGGTATTGAACAAATACACAAAGGCAGGAATCACTGAATCATGGAAAATGTGAGATATTAACTAACTATTTTGTCTTCATATATTTATGGCACAGGTGCCATGAAGAACAAAGGTGACTGAGGTTCATACTACTAATGCATGAAATGGCAACAAAATTCGAAACTTATGGGACTAGTTCACCCAAAAATGGAAACTCTTGTCATTGTTTACTCTCCTTCATGTCATTCCAAACCTGACTTTCTTCTTCTGCAGAACACAAATGGTAAATATGAAGAAAACTGAAGAATATCCAGGTCACTCTTTCAATATAATGGGGGTAAATGGGGACTGAGGTTGTAAATCTCCAAGATGACAAAAAAGAACCATAAAAGCTGACATTGTGCATTATAAATCCAAGTCTTCTGACATCATACGAAAGCATTGTGTGAGGAACAGTCATTATTCACATTTTAACATCGACCTTTACTCGTATTGCCATGTTGAGGAGAGTTTATGGGAGATGTCAGAATCATGAATAAATTGACATTTAAGTCAGATTTTTTTCACAAATTGGATTTTTCCGGTTCCCTAATCCTAATCCTCAATTTGATTATACTAACAAAAGAGTGATCAGGATATTCTTCAAAAATTATTTTTCCATTTGTGTTCCACTAAAGAAAGTCATAGGAGTTTCGAGCGGCATGAATGTGAATACATGATACCAGAATTTATTATTAGGTAAACTATCCCTTTAAAAGTGCAATGATATTTACTGTTGCATGGCTAAATTTCACGGGCGAAATCCAGTCATTTCAATAGAAAGCTGCACGATTGGGAGTTTCGTGTGAGAGGCGAAAGTTCCCCTGTCAGAAATCACTCGTGTTCAAGTTGGTCATGCATTTATTTGTCACATGGACCAACAGAAACCTGCTTGGTTTGAGAAAAAAGACTTCTGGCATCACTACGCTATTGACAATGGACATTTCTGTCAAAAATTGCACTGAAATTTTGCTAATGTGACTGCACCTTAAAGCATATGAACTTTGAAAACACTGTTTGCATTTGAGGCAACAACAATATAAAGAATAGGACCGCAAAAAAAAAGTATGCAAATGAGAGTTGGACAGCAAAACATGTCAATAGTAAAGCCCAGAATGAAAACCCGTTGTCTCTCTCAGACCAGCAGTTGGGCGTTTCTGAATTGAGAGGCAGCCAGAAGGGAACCACATGTTTTAAATCCAGGGAAAATACATCACATTTTCCACTGTGCCTCTGGAGAGGACAATCACCGAAAAGAGTGAGACAGACCTAGAGAGAGAGCGTGAGAGAGAGAGAGAGAGCGCGGGGGGGGGGGCTTTGGCCGAACTGAATGGGGATTCTAGAGAAAAGAGACCTTTGCCTTACGCAACATTACGATCACACACACACACACACACACACACACACACAGAGTTTGCAGAGTTATCAACAGCAGCAAAAGTGTGTTTGGCTGTAGGATGTCAAGAGATTTGCAGTGTGGTCATTTTTGTGCACCATGTGTCCAACTAGCATTGAGGTGAACAGGTCTGATCCAGAGTCTGCTGTCAGCGTGTTTCACAGGCCGCTCCATGTCTTCCTGTAATAGCGCTTTCAATGTTTCCACCCACACATCACGCATCTACACGCTGACTCTCCACCCACACAATCTGCCCCACTAACCTGACAGCACTCCAAAATACTCCACAGCATTTATACGCACAGCAGATCTACTCGCATTGTGTCATTTATGGTGCAGCAGTCAAAGCTCAGGGCTTGTAATAGGACGGTTGCTGGTTCAAATAAGGAACCAGTAAAGAACAAGTCATGAAGTATCAGCACTACACCCTTAAGCACTTTTCCAGGTGGACTGTGCCTGAAGTAAATTTGCTTTGGCTAAAAGCAACTGTTTACATCTCTCAGTGAAGTTCTCCTTCCACTCCTACTGTAAAGCAAATGACTCCCTCTACCGTAACACCATAACCTACATGCTTACATGTAACACTCAAGGGGCCAGTCGTCAGTTGTACCAGCTGTTCGTAAGTTACAACTTAGCCTAGTTTTGATGTATATTTGAACGAAGTTACAACTTACTAAACATTTTTTTGTTGCACTATTAAACTTATCTGAAACGTAACTATACAGTGCGAATTACTTTGTTAGCGCGTCTTCGACATGAACCCACCCTAAACAGTGCGTCTCTACGTGCATCGGTCTGTTTTGTGCATGTCAAATAAAATCAATCATAATACGTGTCATTTCTTGTGTTTTTGTATCATTTGGTATTTATTTATTGATCTTGATTCATTTCAAATACAGTTTCCAAATGTTATTTACATAGAAAAATACCTATTATGTTTTTCATGGTTAAGCAGTGTTGCATTTCAATGAAAATTAAAATATTTCACCATTAATTGCATGAGACAAAAGAAGTTAGAACCAAGTATAAACTGAAATTCGCAAACTTTTCTACACAAGTTCTGCTCATGCATTTGAAGGCTGCTATTGGAACTGAAGGTAAACGTTTGCATTATCTGACTACGCATTACTTTTCAGAGAACTTATGACCTACTAGTTACGCTCTGGCATAAAAACAAATGGTCACACTTTATTTTAAGGTATAAAATAACTCACTCGCTATTAACAAACCATTAACTTCGACTTTTGCCTCAATAAACTCCTAATTTTCTGCTTATTAATAATTATAGGTATTTAATAGTTATAGGTATTTAATAAGTTTAGGTATTGAGTAGGATTAGGGATGTAGAATATGGTTATGTAGGATAAATGCTTTCTAAGTACTAATAAACAGCCAACATGTTAATAATAGGCATGCTAATAAACAACTAGTTAATAGTGAGAATTGGTCCTATACTGAAGTGTTAACGAACAAATGGTGCAACAAAATAAAGTATAGAGTTAGTTACAAACTAGCCAGTAGTTACTAGTTAGCCTCTTTTACTTAAGTAAGAACTTAAGGACAGCTGGTGCATCCCTACTCAGGTGAACAGATAATAATTGCACTGTATGCCAGCTGTTGGTTTGTGAATCTACATACATGCAAACTATATTTAAACATCTCTGAAGTATGTAGGTTTTCCTGCTGAAAAATCAAAAAATATCTCTTCATAGTAGCTAGTAGAAGGTTTCTAGCTAGTCAGAACTGGTTCAAGCTGGTTTAGGAGGATGATCAGCTGGACTAACAGATGTTAGTTGCTAGTTAATCACTTTAAACCACAGCTTGAAGTGGTTAAACAGTTCGACCAACTTGACCAAACCACCAAAAAATTACATTATCTGCTCACTGTTCTGAACTGGCAAGACTTTCTTTTTCTTCTGTGGAACACAAAAGATGAATTAACTGAAGAACACCCTGGCCACTCACAATTGAAAGTGAATGGGAACTGAGGCTATGAAGCTCCAAAATGATTTTAAAAAGCATCATTAAAGTCCGTAGTATACAACACCATATCCCAAATCTAAAGCCATGAGATACTAAAGCTTTGTCTGCTCACAGACTATAATTTTAAGTCATTACTTCCTGAAAGTGGCCACCCCAGCTCTCCCTGGCACATTCACAGGTTTATGAGAGAAGTGGAGATTTAGTAAACACATCACATTAAGAGCTTTTCAATGAACTGATGTTTGATCCAGTTCACAAAATCTGTCTGGCATGATGCTTTCAGACAGATCTGATTCTTGAGTTCTGACAAGATTAGTGAGTAACAACCTTTACAGTTTTGAATCTCTTCTTTGTGGCTTCAGAAGACTTATATATAGCAAACAAGTCACTTAAACAACATTTCATAGTTTAAGGGTCTGATTTGAATCTTGAAATCCTCAGTCCCTATTCATTATAAGTGCTTATACTATGGGGCTGTTGAATGCTTGAATCTGATGGCTTATGAACGTTCTAAGGTATGCAGTTATTTTATTTGTAAGGTCCTTACAACAGCAAAAGAACCAAAACCCACAAAGACACTGACCAAGCAAATAAATAACACATAATACGATAAAATCATCAAAGTCATCAGTATATTTGGAAAGTCAATCAAATTGAAAGGGTCTAGAACTTTAAAAATCTGATCAACAAGAATAGATTAAGCTTGTAAACACTTGAATCAGACGGATTTTCACAATCGGAAAAAAAAAAGAAGCTTTCAGACATGCCCAGTGCCTCGACGTGAATGTTCATATACATTTTATGTCTTAAAAATGTGCATTTTGTATATTTATGCGTCATGTGTTACGAACTGGTCAGTGGAGGAGACTGAAGTCATCAGTTATTCCTTGCATGAAAAACAGTGACCAGAACAATATGTTTGGAACAACATGAGGGTGAGTGCATTTTTTGGGTTAACTAAACCTTTTAAGGTAACCGATTACTAATCAACATATTAAATATTGCCACCATGGTCAGAAAAGCAATGTTTAGCGTTCTCGCCAAGGTTTTTTAATCTGGCCAATTTACTAAAAACAAATATTATGTATGCTTTACATTGCATGACCAAAACAAAAAACTAATTAAATTGATGGATTCACATCCACTACAGTGACACTACAGTGCAGGCACTGGGCCACTGTGCAACTAATACATGTTTCCAGCGGGAACTGGAAGTCATAGGTCCAGTGTTTGATTGCCACATGTCAATAAAACACCACACATACAATGCCAGTGC